CGTCCTTATTTCCATTTGAACTACTCCTTGAAATTAAACTAAAGTATTATTAGGATCTAAAAAATTGACATAATTTATTCACATGATAATTTGTCAATTAATGGAGTCCCAATGAAGAAGTTCAAAAGTTAGTCGCAATTACATTATTGGATCACATCACTGTCACATCATTAAGTCAATAAATTATGTCAATCTCAATAGCATTACTCTTAAAATTTGTATCAAAACATTTGACACACACATGTAAATACCACGTAATACATATTTTTCGTCGAGTTATGACATAGCGGTGATAACTAACGTGGTGAAAGTCATATGCAAGAATCCACATGAGGATGTGAGGCTCTAGGGAATCGGTTGTGTGATGACCCAATCCCACATTGCTTGAATCTATTGAGTATATTATGGTGATTCAATCTCATATCGTATGGTGTGGAGTGGTTGACTTACCACTGAATCTTTGTTTTCAATCATTCAAGTATACAAACCATTCACAAAATTTCACCAATTTGTATCATTCAAGCTACATTAACTTCAACTTTTCGAATGTGATCCAATATATTTAAGAACTCAAATCTGCAAGAATCTAATGAAAAAATGACCCTAATTTAAATTTCAAAGATTTTCTTGATACTTAGCCTTAATTTAATATCTGATTAAGTTTTTATAAGATGATAGCTATAAGATGATGATTTTCGATCTCCCTTGCTGTAGCTTTCACAATCTAACCGACCTTAAATAAACTAGACTATGACGTTATTGGTAACAACATTATAGGAGTCACATTAAGGGCCAGCCAAGTGGTTGAAATAATTGAGTAGGAAGAAGATTTCAATTGAAAGAGTTAGAAGTTAGAGAGAAGACCCTTTTCATAAAAAACAGCAGCCCAACTCTACTGCAATCTGCGTTTCAAATACGTAATGATCTTCCCTATTATAGTAGTCGATTACAATGGGAAATGTTGACTACTAAACAACTGTTTTGTTGTGAACGCGTATTGTGGTGAACAATCCAAGAGTAAAAACCATCAAGAACGATAAGACGGGATTTACCTAGTTCAATTAAAAATTTACCGACATTCATAGAAGTGTTGTTTCACTATAGCAGAATCCCAATAAGATTACAACTTATTTATAAAGGGGTCGCCCACCATTTTCATCTACTTTTGATATTTTATTATTCTAGTGTAATGAACTTAGGGATCAAATTATTGCCTGCCATTATTAAATAAGTCAAGTTCTGTCACACAAGGTTGGTCATTTTCAGTTTGGTATTTCCGGCACAGGCTTTATATATATATATATATATAATAGAGATCACACAAACCCACACGCACATAGCAACCCAATTCCAGAAGAAGACTAGCTAGTTTGGTGATGCATTACATCATAATATCGAAAGCATCCAAATTCCAAACAATCATTTGGTGCAGTGGCAACCAGCTAGGGTTGTGCCCAAGGTTTTGTAACCATATGTTTGTCTGCATTTTGTTTACCTAATTACACAAAATGAAATTGATGAAATAGTGTAGAGGAGTAACAATAATGGAGGTTTAGGATGCAAACATGGTTTTGTTTTGTTTTGTTAATGTGGGGTCTGAAGAGGGTAGTCAAATGTAATGTTTTAGTAATTCAATGTCATTGCGCTCAACGACAAAAAAACAATAATGGAGGATATTTGTAAAAAAACTAATAATAATGGAGGTTTAGTATATAGACACTGAGTCTGATTCAGAGTCTCTTGTCAATGTAATATTTTTGAGATTCAATGTCAGTGTGCTTATATTAAAACAGAACAATCTTATTACTGTGTCAAATGATCTATGACATTTGTCGTTTTCTATAATACATATTTACTAAGGGAGGAAAGACGTTTCGGAGATCTCATTTTGAAATGTCTATATTTTCCTTTAATCACTAATAATCATTCATAACTTCACATCCTTATTAGTCTTTTTACATCCTTATATGTATCTTTATCCCTCCATTTTATTTTCTTTTAATTACGCACACGAATGTCGTGTGCAAACGCCCCTAGTTATAAGAGGCTCCAGGCTTGCAGCAACATCTGAGAAGTTTTAAATCCATTGTTTCATGGTTAATTTAGTTCTTACAGGCCTAGGGTTGATTTTTCTATCCTTGATCTCATTTTATAGAGTGGAAAAAAGGGCATGAAGAAAGTTAGTTGGAACACAATAATTGTTGTAAGAGGTGAGGTGAAGGACTACTGACTATTTAAAGTTGGGTATCATCCTCACTCTCAAAGTGTAGGAAGCTTCATCTTCTTAGCTGGAAAGCAGTGACTACAAGCCCACCTAACCTTGTATATAAACAGCCATTCTTGCTGAAGCTTAAATGGAGGCTTCTCTATGAACCCTTGATTGTGATGTCCAGCTCATGTTTTGTAAGCTAGATTCCAAAGTATAAACCAACAGTTGTGATGCCCCCTCTTGTCTCAACCTTAGCCACCAGGAATGGGTGGATGGATCTAAATCTCCTTCCAAAAAAAAAAAATATATATATATATATATATATATATTTAATTATTCACTGACCAAGTATTGATGATGGATGTTTCAGTGATTGAGCTTGATTTCTGATAAACTAGAGGTCTCGTTCAATATATTTCTACACCTCTAAGGAATAGTCACCATTATCCCTTTAGGAACATGTTTTAATTCAACTCAAGGCATGAGATTGGTCGTTGAGCTCGAGGAAGTAGTCGAAGCAAGTCTCAACACCCTATATCAAAAAATAATAATATATTGGTAATGGGTTTCACTTATCTATCTATATATAAAACAAACAAATTAGAGGAGAGAAGACTAGAGAAATTTTTCCTCCATTTTTCGTAATTTTCTAGAATTTTGATTTTTTAAATTATGATACTAAGGTTTTCTTCAATCACGTTCAATCATGTGTCTTTTATAATCATTTCTCAACTTTTCCTAATTATTCATTATTTTTAAATTTTATGTGCATAAAATTATTTTTAAAATTCAATAATTTAGTATTATTTTTTATCTACCTTCTTAAGCGACAAGCTGAAGGAGAAAAAATTTAATTAAAAAAATATCAAAATATATATCCCGTGTATCGCACTGGGCTAGAACACTAGTATTGTTATATGTGGTTCATGGTGGGTGATCTACTTTAACCCACCTACATGGGTCAAATGAAATCCAAAGGGGGGGGGGGGTTGAGATTTTTTTTGCCTGACTGGATATGTAATGCAATTTACATATATGCGTATAGGTCAGGAGATTGTCTTAGTTAATTTTTTAAACATTTTATGCTGTTAAATTGAATGATTGATGAGGTGTATTTTTTATGTTTGCAATATATTTAAAAATATTTATTTTATCTTTGATGAGTTGTTAAAAAAAAAAATAGAAGTGAAAGTATTTTTTTTATTTGAAATGAGTTGGAGGGTAATTTATAAAACAAACATTGCGGTGGATTGAATGTTAATGGAAATAAATTATATCACTCTAATCTATGGATCTCACAAAAATATATAAACTATCCGAACAGGGAAATGACTGAACATACCAATTTATATCATATCCAGAAGACAACTGAGTGAGTTTTGATTGGATACGAAATGATATCATTTTTAGATATTCAATCCACTACAACCCTGTCATCCAAACATACCCTAGTGGAGGGTCAGTCCCGACCATGGTGGGTGGATGGATCCAAATTTGTTTTTAGGATATTGTATCTCCATTATTCTCACACCAGGCATTGAAGAGAGATACACTCAATCAAGTTTATGATGAATGAATGACCTACTGTTAACTGCAGTCTAGAGAAAATATGCATAGCATATTCCCATCCAAGTGGGGATGGTCATCAGCCCCATGAATTTTGAATGTGCAAGTATCAAAAGGGCATTTGAACTCAACTTCATTAGGCCAAAGCTGAATATGCCAAGGTTCATGATCTTTTCAGCACTTGGTATTAGAGTGAATAATTAAATGGTGCCAGCTGACTTGAGTTGAACATGTTGTTTGTTCCTTATGCTATACACAACTAATTGAAGAAACATGTGCAGCGATAATTTATCAAACATAGTGGGTGTATTGGAAACGGATAATTTTATATGCACTAAATCAATTACAATTGTTGAATTAGTGATGCGACTCACTGATCAAACGACTGTACGTGATTTGGTGTAAGTTTTGATACATATTTTTTTTGCACGTAACATTGCTCATTGCTAAAATATCCCGAGTTCTATGGGAATTCATATTTAATAATTTATTATTAAACAAAATTTATAAATAAATAAAAACGAGTGTAGGGATGGGACAAATAATCGCACCATATGCTGAAAAGCATTCAGATATTTGTGTACGAAGCCAAACCAAACATTCGTATCTTACGTCCTCAAGTCTCATGCCATAACTTAGTTATGAGAACTACCATGACTTTAAAACCATTAGCTTTTGGCACAAATTACATAATAACCCCCCGAGAATTGGTGGAGTTGCACATAATATTTATAAGTTTCAAAAAAATTGTACATAAAGATTTCCAATTAATAACCTCCACTCATTTTGGATAAGACTTGCGGCGGAATATTAACTCATCATTTTTTATTTCTTTTTTTTTTAAAAAAAAAAATGGGACCAAGATGGAATTCCTACCCGGATGTGATTATAACAACTTGAACCCAGGAGGAAAAATATTTATTACTTTTAAATATAGATATACAGATATGTGCTCAAAAAATGAATACAAATATGGTCTTTGACAATGAAATCTGTTGAGTATTCCGATGTGGTCCTATGTTTTTGTGTTCTTAAGACATTCTATTTTTAATTTTGACATTAATATAAGAAGTTTATTGCTCCACATGGTCAAGCAATTGAAATTCTAGAATACTTTGGGGGCAAAACTGTATTACTGATTTGATTTTAATTTTTGCATTTAAAAAAAATCAAAAAAGACTTAACGGTTCGGCTATTTAAACCCAGCCAATGCCTCAATCTCATTCCCCGTCTCCCTTGCATTGTTCAATCGTTCTCTAGACTAGAGAGAGTCCCTTTCTCTCTCTCTCTCTCTGTGAAACCTCTGTTTCTCTCTCTACATTGGCCTTTGTTTCCTGCTCTATTCATCCCCCATCGTGTTTCTCCTCCTTAACGTTCATCTATTTCAACTTTGGTGAGTTTTTTTGTTCTTTGGGGCCTCCCCTTTTTCCCTGCTCAATGATGTTCATTATCTTGCTTTAAATGTAGAGAAACAATTGAAACTTTCGGTTTCTTTGATATCCGTCTATGGACTGTAACATTGATGATTGTGGTTTCTAAAGGATGAACCCTTGCCCTTTGTTGTTGTTGTTTTTTTTTTTTTTTTTGGGGGGGGGGGGGCCCTAAATTGTAATGCAATTATGGACGTTTGATGAAAATTGATGGTTCCAAAAACTGAAACTGCCTGACTGATAATGGGATTTTTCTATTGTTAATGTGTGTGAAACTCTGCATTATAATGGTCATATCTTATGAAGTTTTTTCTTTTTTATTTTTTCTGTTGCAGTTTATTTCTTGTTTGAAAAAAAAAAAATCTTCAGTTCATCTTTCTGTTTCCTTTTGATGTTGCAACTGGCTACTCAAGTTCTATTTGGTTGTTTACAGTTTTAGGTATTTAGTGAAAAGGACTTTGTCTTTTACATGAGCTTTGTTTAAATTGTTGTTCAAAGGGTTTTGCTTTTGTAACAGAGTTTGTTTTAGGACATAACCGATTCTGTAAATAGTTATGAGGAAGTTTTGAGATTGCCCATACAAATGTTTTGGTTGAAAATTGCAATCCTCTACAAGTTACTGGTCCCCTTTTGTTGGCTCAGTGTGTGGAAGTGGTTGTGGGGCTTTTCCATCCAGAACCTCATCAAGATCTTATCATAGGTGTTGGGAGTGGATAAAAAACGACAGACGTGCATATTCTTTCATTTTTATGGTGGTTTTATGAGTCAAGAGTCGTGTTAGATTGTAAGCGCTCGTATATTTTCAAGTCATGAAAATTTGTAGATTGAGAATGAAATTGAATGTTCATATTAGCTTGGGTGGATTTAAAGTATCCTAGTGCACAATGCTTACATCTTTTTATTCTCTGCTCAAGTCTCAAGCTATTCTAGATCAAAATGGAGTATGGGGACCACTACGGGCAGGTTCAGAGGCCAAAATATGATTGTCTTCTGTTTGGTAAGTTTTCAATTTTTAAAATATGTTGTAAAATTAAATCTTTCTGCTAATAGGTGACTCTAACCCTGTGTTTGAACATGCAGATCTAGACGATACTCTCTATCCCCTCAGTTCTGGTTTGGCATTAGGATGCCGCAAGAACATTGAAGGTATGTTTGGAATTACACAGTTTTCAGTTGTTTATTTGCCTTTGAATCTAACCTTGGAAGATCTTCTCCAGATTACATGATTGAGAAACTTGGCATAGACAAGAGCAGAATCCCAGATTTGTGCAACCTGCTTTACAAGAATTATGGGACAACCATGGCAGGTCTTAGGGTATGGCTTTTGACTTTTTTCTTTGCATTTGCTAGCATTGTTAAAGAAAGGAGCATATATTAGAAACTGATACTCTCATGGGGTATTTCTTTTGCAGGCTATTGGCTATGATTTCAATTATGATGAATATCATAGGTGAGGAACTACTGCTTTACATTTACCCTTTTTTATTGATTCATGAATTTTAATCTTGTTTGAGTGAAGTTGGTTAGTACGGCTAGGGTGATTGAATGTTCACTTTTCTGCTGCAGTTTTGTTCATGGGAGATTACCTTATGAAAACTTAAAACCTGACCCCGTTTTAAGAAGTCTTTTGCAGAGCTTACATATTCGGAAAGTTGTAAGTCCAACGTCACAAATTGATACCATATTGAATAATATTGTCATAATCATGTAAAGCCCTTTTTTTACTCATATAATAATTATGTCTTCTGTGTAAATTAGATCTTCACAAATGCCGACAAGGTCCATGCTGCTAAAGTTCTTAGCATACTTGGGTTGGAAGACTGTTTTGAAGGAATTATCTGCTTTGAGACTTTGAACCCCATCCATAAGAGCACTGCATCTGATGATGAAGATGACATTGAGTTTGTGGGCTCAAGGACAGCTCCTAGTACCACTACCAGCAGCAATGAGATTTTCGACATCATTGGCCATTTCTCTCAACCTAATGCGGGGTCAGAATTGCCAAAAACACCAATTGTCTGCAAACCATCCGAACACGCTATTGAACGGGCTCTCAATGTTGCCAGCATCAACCCCAATAGAACAGTAAGATGTCCACCTTTAGGATTAGACCATGACGACTATAAAAAAAATGCTCCTTTCATGTGCTCATGCCTTCTTTTTTTTTCTCTCTTTTAGCTGTTCTTTGAAGATAGTGTCCGCAACATACAGTCGGGAAAGCGTGTATGCCTCGACACAGTGCTGGTGAGTCATTCGATAAATAACATAGCAAAAAATGGGCAGCACACTAGCCTTCTCGCTAATTTAGTTCTGAACAAATGTATGCAGATTGGCACTTCTCACAGAACCAAGGGTGCAGATTATGCATTAGAAAGCATCCATAACATCAGGGAAGCATTACCAGAGCTTTGGGAAACTGACAAGATCTCTGAAGTTAGTTATTCTGGCAAGGTTCCAGTGGAGACATCTGTGACAGCTTAGATTTATGTCATACTCTTACCTGTGTGACACAGCAAATAAGGCATTTTTCTAGTCCAAATCTCTGGTTTATTTCAAATGATGTAGATGTTCTACTGTTATCATCTGTTTAATAGAAAGATCTATGGCATCGGTCGTTACATAAATTATCCCCCTTTCTGTTTGGAATGTCATTGTTAATTTCTAGTCACGATCAGGCTGAGATCATATATTGGACGTACACTAGTTATTTTCTTGAAGGGTTTTTCGCAAATGATGGAATACTGACTAAGGCACGATAGCGAGAGCCGTGAATTTTATAAACAAAACTTGAAGCCTACCCCCAACATTCACTGTCATTCTGATTTTGTATGAATTCCGTAATGGTCTTGTAATATTGACACCAATCAATGTCATCGTTTTGGTTAACAGTGTAATCTGTTTCTCTCATCAGCTAAATAATCACATTGATTGGTGCCAATATTATAGGGATTATCGCGTAAAAATACTCTAGGCCCGGATGAATATTGTTTTTAAACCCATATATAGTCTTTTAAACACTCTAGGGTATGTTTTGGTAAAAGACATTTGTACCCCTCAATAATTTTTAGGATATAATTATCTCGAGGGTTTTTTTTATTAATTTAATGTTTATATCATCATTCAATAATCTATTCAAAAAAAGTATTGGATGAGATAAATTTAAGGTTCACTACTTTTTAGTACTTGAACCAAACATGGGATGAAAAGATATTATCACTATAATTAGTCTACGACCCAGATGGATAGATGGATAGGTATGAGATAGACGGGTTTGTCCAATTCGATTATATCTAATACATAAACCAAACACAGCCTCATGAGTGGCTTATTTTATCCAAAAACTAGGTAATTTTAGTGTCACTGAACCTGTTTGTTGGGCAGCACAAAGAAAGATCCACGGGATCATTCTTATCATATGATTTTTACCTCTATATTTCGTCATTGTCCTCGAGTAAAACTTCCTCGGTATGATTTTCAGTAGCATTAGCAGCACAAGCTGTCACTATATCCTGTTGTGCTTAGACCCTATTACGCTTCGCCCATTTTATGTAAAATAATCAGATTAACTTTATTATGTGGACGTGGATGACGGAATGTATTAGAAAAATTTCGAAAAAAGTTTTTGGTGAGTCAAAGGGTCCTAGGGTAGAGGGCTTGTGGGAAAAGAAACTTAATGGTAAAATGATATCGTACAAAATGTAGTTAAAGTAAAGAAATAATCTTTTAAGAGATGGCAAAATGATAGAAATAATGAGTAACTTTCAAAAATGCAAATTAGCTAATAAAGAGGTTAAAAAGATAGTTAGAGACACTAAGTAAAAAGCCAACAATGAGTTGTATAAAAAACTGGATAGTAAAGAGGGACAAAAAGATATCTACAAATTAGTTAAAACTATAAAAAGAAAAACAAGAGAATTTATTTAAGTTAAATGCATCAAGGGCGAGGATTCAAAAGTTTTAGTCAAGAATAAGGAAATAAATGATCGGTGAAAAAATTATTTTGTGAAACTATTAAATAAAAATTACTTAGGAAACTTAGAAGAGTTAACAAAATGGTAGGATTCATGAAACTAGAACACATATGTTCTTTCGTAGGATAAAAAAATTGGAGGTAGCGGTGGAGTGCGGGTGAAGGACAGTAAACAAGTGGAAGCGATACCTGACTGGACAAAAGTTGCAGTGAAGAAAGATGGAGCAACCTGTTGCCAAGACACGAACTGAGCATACTCCTCTCTTGTGATAGTAACCAACTCAGAGTCAAGTGGAGCCGACCAAGATATGGGAGCAGGTAGAAAGGAAGTATCATCCTAATAGGAGACCTAATTGGCAGTGATTGTATTGAAGAAAATGGAATTATGCAAGGATTTAGGAGCAAATAAGATTTCAATTGAGGATTGGAAGTTCTTAGGGAATGATAGGGTGTCGTGGCTAATGAATTTTTCCAATGAATGGAGAAATAGAATTTTAGTATCTATCTATAAAAATAAAGGAGATATTCAAAATTATAATAATTATAGAGGAATAAAATTAATAAGTCATATAATAAAACTATGAGAAAAAGTCATTGAACGTCGCCTAAGAGTTAAGACTACAGTTTTGAAAAATCAGTTTGGGTGTATGCCTAGTAGATCAACTATGGAATCTACATATTTATTAAGGACGCTCATAGAAAAGTACAGAGAGAAAAAAAAAATTTTCATATGATATTTATAGATCTTGAAAAGGCATATGATAAAGTACCTAGAAATATAATATGAATGGTGTTAGAGAAAAAATAAGTGACGAATAGGTATATTGAAGTGATAAAGGATATGTACGATGAGGCTATGACTATAATTATGTCTTCAATAAGAAAAAGTAAAGAATATTAATCACAGTTGGATTACACCAAGAATCAGCCCTAAGTCCATGCTTATTCATCCTACTTATGGATGAACTCACTGGGCACATTCAAGATGATATCCCACAGTGTATGCTATTTGTAGATTATATTGACTTAGTGGTTAAAACTCGAAGGGAGATTAACAATAAGCTAAAAAATTGAAAGAAACACTCGAGTCAAAAGAGTTTAAAATAAATAGGAGTAAGAATAAATACATGTAATGCAATTTTAGTAATAAAAGAAGTAGACATAGTGAAAAAGTTAATATTGAAAATCAAAAAATATCAACGAGTAAATGATTTAAATATCTAGGATCGATTATTAAAAATGATGGAGTCGATGTCACTCATAGAATCAACGCCAGTTGGATTAAGTGGAGGAAAGCTTTTGGCATATTATGTGATAAAAGAAAACTGATAAAATTAAAAGGCAAGTTTTACCGAACAGTTATAAAAACAACAATGCTATATGAGACAGAATGTTGGACAATTAGGAAATAATATAGTAACAAAACAAGTATAGTGAAAATGAAAATGTTAAAGTGGAAGTGTAGAAAAACTAGAAATGATAGAATACGAAATGACCGTATTAGAGAAATGATACAAATAACTCTAATTGAGGACAAGTTGAGAGATAATAAATTAAGATAGTCTTGTCATATTCAACGGAATCGAAGAGGTATCTGTTAAAAAATGTGATAGAATTTCTATTATTGATACTGTGAGTAAGGTTAGATCTAAATTAATATTGAACAAAATAATAAGAAAAAATATAAAAATATTTAGCTCAAATGATCGAAATGAATGAAGAAGACGACCTCGCATAGTCCACTCCAAATGATTAGAACATAAAACTTAATTTAGTTTGATACTTATATTAACTTCCTATAATTGGACTTGATGGAGTGTGTGATCGCGCCTATTTGGCGTGGTATTTTTTTGAAAATAGTTTTATTTTCAAATTAATTTAATATCCGAATAGTGTAATAGTATAACAATAACAGGGTAATAATATAAAGTATAACAGTGTAACAATAAAAGTGTAACACTAACAATGTAACTGTATAACAATAATAGTGTAACAAGATATTTACATAAAATATTATACTATTATATTTTGTCAAACATATAGTTTCATATAATTTAATTCAAAATAGTCCATCTCCGTTTTGAATTTGTTACCATACACACAAAACTACTGAACACTATTTTTGTTACAGTGTATTTGTTACACTGTTATTATTACACTGTTATTGTTATACTATTACATTATTTGGATATTAAATTAATTTAAAAATAAAACTATTTAAAAAAAAACGCTTAAATTAAGGTGCATTAAATATAATTTGAAAACAAAATCACTTTAAAAAAAAAAAAAGAAGCATGAATCAAGATGCATTAAAGATAATTCAAAATTTAAATAAGAGATTTAACAACAAATATATATATATGTGTGTGTGTGTGTGTGTGCGCGCATTATATATATACATGTATTAACAAATACACATGAATCAAAATGTGCATTAAATACGTATTTATATGTATTAACAAACACACATGAATCAAGGTGCATTAAAGATAAGAGATTTTGAATTAAATGACCCTAAAATGAGCATTTGTCTTTTTAACTCACATTTTGTTCTATGTACTTTTTGTCAAATAAGTCTAATTAGGTGTACCGACTTCCAAAGAACTCATTTAAGAATTATTAGGCTAGAAGTCCACCGTCTAAAACAATTTTCCAATAAGTCCACCTTGATGTTTGAAAGACTATCCTATCCGTACACCTAATAATAGAGATACCAATTTGGAAACTAACCAGTAATGAAGCTTATCTTCCATAGAAAATTAAAATTAAAATTGTAGATAGTAAGGAGTTTTGAAATTCAAATGCCAAACCAATAAAATTAGTGATAAATTGACAGAATGTGATATCAATATATTAGAAAATCTCCATGAAAAAAAGTCCACATTTTATAAACATTTGTAAAAACACCATTCTCAGGTGTCAAAAACATTTATTATTAATGAGGGTTTCATTGTGAATAAGACACTGTTGGCATCGTTGGAATTTATTGAAAACGAGAGTTTGGTCACTATGACGACTATATCGCACTACTTGTAAAATACATATGTAGAGTTAGGCCACTATGAGCAATATAATGTGATATCAATATCTAATGTATACACACACATATGCATGTTTTTGGCACATGAAAAATATCACAGTGTGACCTAGGAATTGGTGCATTGTGGGCATCACAATGTGGCATCAATGTCACACTGTATATAGACACCATATACAGGGTTTGCACATGAATGGTATTATATTGTAACTCCAATGTAACACTTTATATACACATCATATAAAAATTTTAAAAATATATTGTGGGTATTACAATGTGAATCCAATGTTGCAATACAACTACAAATTATATGCATTATTTTTTCATGGTGTGGGTATCAAAAGCGTAACTCCAATGTCACACTATAAAACAAAATCACATGCAGTGTTTTGTACAAGGTGGGTATCACACAATGTAACTTAAATGTAACACTACATAAACATAGAGAAAAAATAGGGGTAGGGGGAGAGAGAGAGAGAGAATAGGGAAAGGAAAGTAAAGATGGGAGAGATAATGATTTTGAGAGAGAAAATAGAGGAAGAGAGAGTGACAGAGAGGGAGAAAGTGAGAAAAAGGGAGAAAGAAAATAAAGAGAGATAGTAACAGTGAGACTCAGATAAAGAGAGAATAAGAAATCTTTTTAAAACTAATGAAATCCTTTCAAAATTCAAATGGTTAATTATCTTTTAATTTAGAACCACTTAGTAAAATAGAATTAAAAAAATAATAAGAAAACAGCTAATAAGACGGAGAGTGTTGTTTTCAGAATTCCAGTCATTGAATGAAAGAGAGAGATGTAGTTCAAAATTCAAACATGCTGTCTCAAAAAAAATAGAAAATTGAATTCCAC